GAGCAATGAAGTCATGGCTTAGCTGTTGGCAAATCCACGCTCCCTCGCCCTCCGTTTCTCGGCTAATGGCCATCACCGTGTCAAGGGGACGAACCGACCTGCTGTAGAACATCACTGCTGGATCAAGGACACCTCCTCGCTTCTCATCTCAGCTGTCCTCGCTGGCAAGGGGCTGAGCAGGATGCAGGATGCTGCCCTTGGCTCCCAGGCAGCTGCAAGGAGCCACATTGCTCCCCGGAGGCGTTGAACTGCCCAGGAGCAAACGTGCAAAATGCCCACGCGTTTGCTTGGGAAGCAGGGGTTGCAGGAGAGCAAGGTGGCATTTGGGAGCTGCATGTGGCTGGTATCTGGAAATATTACTGCTTAAGAAACTACATTTGCACTCCTAAAAGGCTAAACATATGGTCAGAGTTACAGCACGATTATATGGGTTTTACTGTTTTCCTCTAAGCAGTTAAGTCTCAAAGGATTGCACGGTCATATAGGGAAGGCATCAATGAAGGGCTGGAGTCAGAGGGGCCTTGCAGCACCAGGAAATTAACACCTATGAAATGAGGGAAGGCATGGGTGATAAAAAAAAAATAAGGGAAAAAAAAGGAGGAGGTCACACATTGAGACTGCTCTCAAGGAGATGCACTAGTGCACTCTGGCTGCAATCGCTGGCATTGAGACGGCAGAGCCGTTTTCAGATCAAGAGTTCACAAGTGACCTTTAATAGGCAATAGCTGCAGGGCCGCATGTCCAAGCTCTCCAAAATAATAATCTGCCAACAAATTGTTGTGACTGGCAGAACTGCAGAGCTGGGAGGGCAACATCCAGGCCACAAAGGCTCTTGCAGACGGACCTCGGCACCGAGCTCACGGCTCCTCCAGGTTCTCCAACTGCAACCTACCCACTAGCCTGGAAAAGCACTGGGAAAAGCTCAGTCCTGAGGGAGCAGAGGCAGGAAAAACTGTGTGGGAAAAGGGATAATATGGATGATTCTCAGCCTGTTTCCATAAAGGGGGCTCGTACCATCCTGCTGCCTGCCTCCCCCTCCTCATCCTCACGGCGCGACCTGTGGGGACGTGTCTCACGTCTGCGGGAAATCAGTTCCACTGTAAAGCACCAGAATGAGGAAAAATCAGTTCTTATTGCAAGGTGGGGGAGAAGCTGCTGCTCATCAGAAGGTGGAGTATCCCCTGCCGCTTTTCTTTGGAAAAGGAAAAGAAGCAAAACAGAAGTCAGTTCACAAAACTTTCAATTTTTATTATTTGAAACTGGAAAAGGCTCCTTGGGTAACAATGATCAGGTGGAAAAGTAACACACAGACTTTGTTCCATACACGGACACCTCGGATGCGGTAGGTCTGGCCTTACAGAGCCAGCCCGTTCCTTGCAAACCCACAAATAAAGAGGTAAAAACCCCATCCTTCATGTGGAGGAACAGGCAAGTTGGTTAAACTACATTGATCATGTTCCGCACTGGTGTTTGTGGCATCAAACTGAGGTGCTCAAAGGCAAACAGCATTTCAGAACAAAAAGCTCACCTTTCCCCTCAGTGCTGCCCCCTGCAAGCAGCAGAGATCTGGCCTCTCACCTTCATTTTTAATCATCATCAAAATAAAAGTACAACAAGGCGGTTTATGGACACTTACGTACACTCAAAGCCTGCTGGGGATACCCAGATTAGTCAGTCAGTACCATGTTAAAGTGGTTAGTGCAAAATTCACACAAAAATTGGGCACGCCTGCAATGAGGAACATAAGGGTATTATCAATGAAAAAAAAAAGTGCAGGTTGCTTTTGATTAAACCAATGAACACCCCTGAAGAGAGTGCTCTTTTCCTCAAAAATTAGAGAGATACCACAATCCAAAGGAAAAAAACAGCTAGTTGAGCACAGAAAAAGCCCGTGGCACTCACATTTTGATACGTTATCTTCCATCCTGCAGCCTGATCAGCCCTATTTCAAATATCTCCAACCCGTAAGCAATGCTGCCCTTCGCCTGCTGAGCACACCACAAGGTTATTGGCCATGTGAGCAACCAGCTACAAGACCAAGTTAATATATTATCTTCTCCTAAACTAACAAGCTGAGATTACACAACCCTTTTCCACACAACAACCAACACTCGTATTACGTTCCACTAGTCTTAAATTAATAAAAAGCAATGAAAAGTCACTCTTCTGTAAAAGTAAACATTGAGTCAGCTACATTTTTTTCCTGGTAGTTTGCATCTCCAAGCATGATTTTGTTTTCTCCCCAGTAAAAGTTTCCTAATGAATTGCAGTCCGACCTCTATTTCCCCATTCCAGGACAAACACAGCAGTTCTTTAGCATTTGCTCCAGATTCAACATTTGCTGCTGAGGAAAACTGATACCCAAGATTGCAGATAACTCTGTCCCTCCACCTCCCCAGTCAAAAAAAGAACCTGACAAGTCTGTGTGGACTGCAGCAAGCCCTCTGTGGCAACTAAGCCTGATCCCAGCACATTTATAGCTATGAAATCAGGCCCAACACAAATAAACAAAGCAGCTGGATGAGGATCTTTGAGGCTTCTGTTTCCCAGCTGGCCGACCCCACGTGTTTTGACATGCAAAAAGCAGGAGCTTTCATGCTAGGAGCACAACCCGGCCTGAGCATCTCACTTGTTTACTGCTCCCGAGCTAGAATTAAGTCCCCATTTGGGTCTTCCGGTAGCTATTAGGGCAGTGATGCTGCACGACCTAATTGCAGCACGTTGCTCATTTATTCCAAAATGCTTGTGCCAAGAGAGCATTCCCTGCCACCGACGGGTTATTTCCCATCTTCCCTGGTGCTTTCCATCCGCCTGGCATCAAGGAATATGCTAATTGTCCCCAAGGTTATCTATGGAAAGTGAACAGGGCAAGGCGACAGCAGCAGCAGTCAGATGTTTATCACCCCAGCACACGTTAACCCCATGCACAACTCGGAGAAATGTCCCAAAACGGTGACAACGGGGGTTCAAGGACCAAGCAGGGGGTGCACCAAAATATCCTGCACGGGGAGGTGGCAGAGCCTGCACCAAACAGCAACGAGCCCAGCAAAACCCTGCCCTGTCACCACTGTCACCAGCACTCGCAGGGACAGGCAGAACAAAAAACCCAAGGGAGGAACAGCAATAAGTGCCTGTGTCTTGATTTACCCTCTTGCCAACTCTCTGCACTCCGCCGGCCAAATCGCAGGGAATTTTCTTCAGAAATGCCACAAAAGCCTACTAGGCTTCCAGGAGCGGAAGGTGAGAGGAAAACGGAGGAGCAGTAATAAGAATTTGCTATTTTTGCTGTCTTTGCTCTAGACAGAATAAAGCCGCAATGTGCCAGCAGCTTGGCCTTTAATTGGGACTAGTACATTCTGACATTTTGAGGCCAATCAGGCACACTATAAATAAAAAGAAGCTTCTACAAGGGCAGAGCTGATCTCCGGAAAGCTACTGCAGCACATCCAGCCTCGGCAAAGCCCTTCCCTGCAGCCAGGACTCACGGTCAGAAGGGACTCGATACCGGACAAGGTTCGGAAGCGACGAGCTACAAGCAGAGGAACCGCCTCGGCCTGGACAACAGCAGATGCACAACAGGCGTCCAAGAGGATCCCGCACATCCAAAGCGGCTCCAAAAAACACTTTTTGACACATTAGTGAGTCACGTTTACACACTCAGCCAGCCAGAGACAGGGGAGTGACTTCAGAGTCGGCCTCTGTCCTTAGGAGACAGCGGCTCGGATCAAGTCCTTGTGGTGCAATCAATACAGGCTGGATTTGCAATCTCACGCTAAGAAAGAAAATCAAAAACTACTAAGACAGTTATGGGAAAGTTTAGGATTTTCTTTTTTGGGTGACTGGGACATGAAAGGAAGAAGGCAACCACAAATTAAAACTATGGATCCAATTACAGCTGACACAGAGCTGGTTTTAGGGACAAGCTATCGAAACAGCTGCCCAAGGGGACCCCTCTCATCCCTTTAGGCCATGTTACGGAGCAGCTTGAAGGCCAGCCCCAAAACAAACTGGCCACTCAAATGCCAGACTCCTAATGTCTTTAGGTATCCCAGAAAACCACATAATCGAGCTTGAAACCTCTGTCTACAAGATTGAAGTGCACATTTTGCTTCTCAGCGGCCGCAGCAAAAGGCTGAGAACCCAATTGCAACCTCAGGTCACCTCTCTGCCCACAAGCCAATGATCACGGAATTGTCACTGTCCCTCCTTCTCCTAGCAGCTCTGCCAGGCCCGAATGATGGGGTGAGACCCAGGACAACTCTTCCCTCTGCTGACACAGGGACACATCTAGCAGGTTGCTCAGAAACAACTTGCTTTTTATAGCTCATTCACCAGAGCCCTTCAGATCCTCTCCTCTGACACAGACAGGTTTTCCACTACCGACAAAGCAACAGGAAGGAAGGAAAGAAGTGCCCCAAATCACCTTCAAATTCCCAGTGGTTTGAAAAACCTCTATCCAAAGAGACAGGAATTAGTCCTGTGACTGACACAACCTTCTGCTCAAAACCTCTGCTGGAGACTCGGTTCTTGCACAGCTTGAGGGAACACGCGGAAGGCAAAGATGGCAAAAACTCTCGCGAGGGTCAGAATAAAAGCTGCTCATACTCAGTGAAGACAGGCAGGGACGGGAACTTCGGAAGGCCGAGCACAGCTGTGCACATCCTCATTTACTGTGGAGATCTTGCCCAAGGTGAGAGAATGTCTCAAAGGAAACCTCCCGCTCCAACCTCAGCTCAAGGACATGGGTATTCCACCAGCTCCTCTGGGCAACGATGCACCCAGGGAAAGGTTCCTGGGCAAGAGGACGCTTTGTCATTTCTGATACAGGCACCAAGAGCAGCCAGTCGGCAGCGGGGAAGCCACACAGGTTTTCAGGAGAGAAAAGCAAGTCTCCTAGGAGGATACAGCACAAGCTTAAAGGAGTCCTCTCCCGGAGGAAGGTCTCTTCCCATGGGGGACTGCTAACGGACAGGGCTTCCATGAGCCCAGTCCAACTTCTGATCCAATTCTGGCATTGAGTTAATTTTGTTCCGATACATCCTTTTTGCAATAAGAAAGCTCTACTTCCTCCTCTGCAGGATCCCTTCAGCCATACAAAGCTATGTTACAGACTGGATAACAAGGACTGCCAGGGAGGAAGGTGAGGAGGCAGGGAGGAAAGGGCAGTCATTAATATTTTAACAGGGATGTGTACATTTGGGGTAAAAAGGCTTTAAAAAGTGCATGCTTTTATTCAGAGGTACCAAGAGCAAGGAATCCCCCATCCCATCCCTGGCTGGGGAGTGCAGTGGCCTTTGCCACCCCTAGCCCTGTCCATCCCAAATCACCCGTCAAGTCGCCAGCAATTGAATGTTCTTCAGCATTTCATCAAATGCCTCCCGGGAAGGCGCTTCGGCATTCTGGAAAGACACCTTGATCCGGCTGTAGAGGCTGAAGGACTTCAGCTCCAACCAGATGAAGCCAAAACGATCGTTGTCAAAGAGGACAAAAACACCCGGTGTTCGCTCGGGGCTGGTGAAGCCGTGGCCAGCAATAAGCCCCGTCCCATAAAAACTGCAGGGAGAAAGGAAAAGCAAGAAAGATGTGAAAAGAGTCCTAACTGCCTGACATTTCATTAAAAAAATACACATATATATGATCAAGGCATCCTCAAGCATCCTGCCAGGCACTACCGAACAGGGAGTTTTACGTTCAGCCAGTTCTCATGATGCAGCACCAGACACCACTGCTGCTATTCTAGGAAGAGGAACTATCTGTTTCTATGTACGTTCCCCTGGGCCTTTAGGGAACCTGCTGCTTTGGGGGGTTCTAAGAATTAGCAGCTGCACACTAAAGCTGAATTCCTCTGCAGTTTGACCTAGGAATCAAACTGAGAACAGCACGTGTCGCAAAGATTCTCTTTCTGGTTTCAAAAAGCAACTAAAATACTAGACTTTAAAAAACACCAGTCTCCGTTACCAAATTCGGCAGGTCCTAGGATAGTCTTCATTCCTCGATATGACTCCCATGGGCAGCACGAAGGGCTGGGAAGCTGGTGCCTTGTCCTGGGTCGTCCCTTCAGCTCCGACCGCAGTCTCTTCCCCCGTGGCACCTTCTCCCTGGGGCTGTGCAGCAGGGGGGGAGGCAGCTTGCTGGGATCCATCCTCTTCCTCCTGCCGTTGTTCCTCCTCCTGCTCCTCCCGGCGCACCTGCTCCCGGACCTCAAGGACGATGCGGGAGAGCTCACTAAAATCCCGCAGGTTCTCGACGTCAGGCAGCTGAAGAGGATGCGCCAGGTCGATCTCCACTGTCTGCTGCCCGGCTGGGATGTTGGGATCTCCCTAAGGACAGGGAACACCACCTACGGTTGCAGAGGAAGGGTGCTACGCAGTTCACACCTGCATCCTCCCCAAGCCTGTCATGCGACAAGGACAAGCTTTTCTAAACAGCTGCCCCTGTCCTACAATCAGTGAGTTGACAGCTAAAAACTGCCGATGTTGTTCACTGTTCCCTGAACTGCCTATGTCATGCCTGTATTCCCTGTCCTGGGAACAGAATTTTAGTCAAATGCTATAGCCAGGCTGTGCTTGCAAGGGTGAAAGACGCAGTCACAGCCATGTCCACATTTCATTAGGATTCCTACCTGAGAAATAAACTCACTAGCCTGGCTTCAATAAGAAAAGAAGAGTTTGGTACCTGCTCTACAGATGTGCATGGTCTTTAGAGCCCTGCTGCTTCTTGCCCCAGAAACAGCTATCAGGGAGAGAAAGGAAGGGAGAACTGGGTGGAATCATAAGAAAACTCTGCTGAGCAGGTTCTAGCTACTCTGCATGTGTTAAAGTTCACCTGATACCACCAGCCTCCATGAGAAACAGGCTTTTGAGTGGTAACAACTGACTGATAACCTCCCCAGCAGACAACTGTCTCCTACGGGGATCCACAGCATCAACAGGAGGAAACTTTAATTGGAGAACACACTCACGGTGATTTTAGTCCCCTTGGCTTTCTTTCCATGAAAGCTCAGCATGACAATCTCCAGCCCGTGGCTCCCATATGTTCCTTTGAAGAGACCTGGCTTTATAAGGTCGTCAGGGCTGCTAGGAGGGAGGTAGATGCGTCGATATGTCAAGCAGTTGCTATGAAAAAAGAAAAAAAAAAGGAGTTGAAAAGAGAACCCCTGCATGTGAAGAACGTGTTTACAGGCTGCTTTTCTAGGTCGCTTTGGGTCATCATTAATAGAAGGGCTGAAGCTGTGATTTCAGTCCTGCCAACGAGTGCAACACATTTTGCTTCAGATCTATGCAAACACAGCCCCTCATTTCTTCCTCCCTTCACTTTTCCCTTCTACCAGTCGTGATTAGCACAGCAGGAGGTTCTGCAGCAAGGTCACAGTAAACCTCCTCCCTCGCTGGGATTTCTGGAGAATCCAAAAGCAAAGCGTACTTAAACATCTGCTACAACGATGTGGCTCCTATTAGAAGTTTGGAATGACAGTTAAAAAATGACTTCTCAGGGACTGGGTAATTTCTGCCTTGTGCAATACAAAGTGTATTGCTTACTAATACGGATAATAAGCACATAGCCCCTTGGGACCACGCATATTCGCTCCATCTTCAAACTAAGCACAGCTAAATGACTCAAAACCATCTTGCTGTGCACAGAACTATTCTAAAGAATCTGGAACGTTATCATTACTGCTTTCATTACATCTTATTTCTCTACACAATTGGAAATGACTGCGCTTCACTGTATGCTTGCACAGAGCCTGTCACAGCAGAACCTGAACAAAGTCACTGTCCTTTGCTGTTCTGTTAAAACTCATTACAAGAAAGAATTATGTTATCAGAACACACGATCCAACATGCTCTTGAAGTTGCAGCTGCCTCAATACCTAGGAAGAGCTGGTATCCTTACTCATATTGGCTGGTGTAGATGAACTTCATCAAGATGAGCTCTTGCATGTGTTCATGGAAAATGTCTTCCAGAGTCCGACCCCACTCTTCCCTCAGCCATGTCCGGAATTCCTGCAGCACAAGGAGAGGAAACAAGGGAGAAGCTTGAATTGCTTTATTTGCAGCAATGATGGTACCCCAGTATGACTTTGTACGACAAAATACACCAGTGGAGCCACAGAGAGGTCACACGCTCTGCCAGGCTGCAGCTGGATTTGGGAACAAACCCACATTGCTACAGGGGTGACCTGGATATAAGGTGAACCAGAAATCATCACAGTAACTGCCCTACACCTGTGAGGTACCCCACAGCAAAGGTGCACTTAGCTTCAAAGAAATAGAGGGTGAAACCATCACGCCTCCTCAGAATAAAGCATAAGCATCATCTACTACTTCAAAGTGACTGACCCACTGTTTGTTTGTGTGCTCCTAAGCTGACTCCTCTGCCCTATTCTGACATGTTAAACTTAAAAGGGGAAGATTTTCAAAGCACTAAAGACTCAGGAGGTTAAATCCTGCTCATTTAAACACTGACACATCTAAATCCAAAGGGTGCTTTGAAAATGTCTCCTGACATACCTCTATACCAGCTTTGACAAGTTAATACCCTAACACGAGTTAGCATGATAACAGCTTACTCTAAGATAGCAGCCTACCAAGTGATATTACAAACCTGCTTTCTTTATCTTCTAAAGCCAGATCCTCCAATTACCATAATACCACACACATTTAACGCAGTGCTTTGAAAGTATTAAAGCATTTCTCATCTGCTACAGAACCAGAAAACACTTAACTAAACCTTTCACCCAGCTGTTTCCCATTAGTAGACAGACGTTTTAAAGCTTTGGTTAGAAGTGACTGAAGTATCAGATTTGTCATGTCTAACCAGCTGGGCTCCTGGCAGCAACCATCCCTACCTGGAGCAGCTATTAGTTGAAAGCTTCTGTCTTGGCATTCAGACCTGCATCTTAAAAGCATGTAGCTTGAGTTAGGAACCTGCCTTGCTGAGATATTGCAGATATGGGATAAACAACAAAAATGCAGCTTTTGATCCACTGGTCAAACAGGCAAGCAGAGGGAAGGCCTCTGCCCCCAAGGAGGTATGTGCAGCTGGAACTAAATGTTAGGCCTGTGTGTGAAAGACTTGGTTTATGTAAAGATAATGACAGAGAGGTTGGGGTGCTGCACCGAGTACACCGCATGCTGCTGTCCTTCCATGGACACATCTGCTGCCAGGCATGAAAGGTGTCCTGCTTGCACAAGGATAATCAGGATCAAACAACTCCATTCTCAGGGCAAACAGCACCTTGCTAGTGACATTCGCCTGGAAAAGCCTTTGGCTCAAAAGGAATGAGTGGGCATCACAGGCTGCACAGACCCTGCTGGCCCCCAGCTCATACACAGGCTCTTCCCCCGTTCTGCAGCTGATCCCACACAACACAGCACCTTGGCAAACAGCAGATGAGCTTCCTCGGGATCCCAAGGGCTTATTTGTGAATGCTCCTTAAACAGCACAGCTGCAGGTGCAAGGAGATGTGCAGCTAGCCTTTGGCAAGCAGGAAGATGTTAACACCTTAAGTTTTGATTCAAAACATCAATCAATTTTCCCCATAAAATGAGTTCCAAGTTGAAGAACTAGAGACTACCGTCTTTGGTATTCAGGTATGTTAAGTGCTACAGAAACCATCTCTCAGATCCCGACTTTAGTAAGATTTTAGACAAGACAATAATGCTGCATTTTCAGAAAGGGGACCGGCTGCTGGCCAAGCACTCTCACCTCCTGCCTTCCACCCGACATTCGATGGTGATCTGTCTGGTTGCATTTTGTGGAGAACTCGTCCTTCTTTACAATCTGCAGGTTAGGTGGAGGAAAAATTAACAGTTACAGACCTGATTAGAATTGACTAGGACAATGTAACCAAGACTGCTTAAAACAAGTGGTTAATGTACATGCTGCTGCATTTGCCACAACAGAGAAATTATCGATGATACCAAGTGCCTTAGCTGCAGGACAGAGAAATAAAGGCAGTAAAAGCAACCCATTCTAATGGAGGATTTGGATTTCAAACTGCTTCTCCGGTTGAGCTTCAAGGAGAAGGAAACAACCCCTCAGGAAGCTTTTCAAAGCATCCTATGCACTGAATGGATGATGCTCAGCCTCCTCAAGTTCTCATCTTGGAGTCAGATGGAAAAGAGGACAGATGTGTCTGCTTGGACACAAGCAGCAACTGCACAAGGACATTGTATGGAACCTCTCTCCCAGCCTGGATGCATCTTGGTGCTCCCAGCCCAGCAAGAGAGTTTAATACACAGCTGTACAACTACCAGTGAAAAAATACAGAGCAGGGAACGGTCATGTATCTTGTCGGACACACCACGAGGGTAAAGCTGGCATCCACATGTACCGCAGGGTGGTGGCAGTCACATCCTACAGAAATATCTTGGAGTTTGCTGTGGAACCCCCTTCCAGAGTCAATGTACATGCACACAAACATACTGCACCCTGCACAGCTGGAGGAAAAATGTGGAAAGGGCTGGAGGAGCTCACCTGGATGTGGCCGTTGTGAGGTCCCTTATGGCCATACATACACTCAACGGTGGCACATTTCCTCTCCATGAGGTGAATCCTGAAGAGAGGTTTGAATCTCATCGGATCGTCAACATGAGGGTCGTGAGGAGGCAAGTACATCCACCCAATGATGAACAAACCATCTACCTGCACAGGGGTAAGGGAGAGCAAACGAGATCAGCCTGCAGCAAGCAGCTCCCGGACCTCGTCTGCCCCAGGGCAGGGGCTGTAAAACAGTTTGCTGCACTTCCAAATTGCTTTCCAGCATCTAAACCACACCGTGTGCACTCGCAGCACATCCTCACTGAGGAGGAAGGGGTTTTTATGAGGCTTTCTGCATTGCAGGAAAACAATCCTGCCTCTATTCCTGCAAGGGACGTTGTGCTGGATGCTCAGGGCAGGCTCCGGAGGGGCAGACTGCACTGAAGCTGGTCAGGCTCTAATTGCTTTGAGAGCTCCTGCTGGCAGACACTGCAATAGAGGAGTTCTGCTCCTCGCAGTAATCTGTGCCTTCTGCACAAGGAATTGTTTTGCTCTATTACTCCCAGACAGCAAAGAAAGCAGCAATCCCCTCTGCTGAGAGGCACAAATGCCAGCCCTTTTCCTGCATTCCCAATTAAATCCTTCCTCTCAAACCTTTGAAACCTTTGTCTGTAGCATTGTGTAAATGGAGAGACCCAAGACAAAGGCAGAGCAGCACCATAGAGAAACGCTCCTCTTTAAGTCAACTGTATTGAGCGCGCATTGGTGCGACCAGACGTGCTCCTACACCAGTTTGTGGAACAGATTTTTGCAAAACTGGAAGGCCAGAGCTACGCTGGCCCCGGTGATTTGCTACAGTTAACCTGTCAGCTAATGAGCCGTGATGCACAGAACAAGGCTCCAGGCAAACTTCTTGCCCAGCTGTCAACAATCCAGAGGCAAGTGTTGTTCATTAGCTGCTCTCCCCAGCAGCACAGGAGCTGGCAGGCTCCGTGGGTCTTGCATTCCCATATATCACCACCTCTACAGCTGATGTGTTAGTCTTCGGGCTCTGCTGCAGAAAAGGATGCTAAACTACAGAAAAGACAGCGGTGCATGAATGCAGTGCTCTGCAAAATGCACAGTTGCAGGCAAAGCTCGTGCAGTAAGTGGAGGTCTGGTTTTGCAGCTGCACTCCAAAGGGCTACAGAGGCACACAAACAAGGAAGGCCTCTCTGGAGAACGGCCGTGATGATGACAGGAACCAAAATGCAACCCCTGTGTCCCAATTACTTGCTTGAGGGTTGCCTGTTCACACTTCTTAATGCCATGCAGCAGATGGCAAGAGGGCAAACAGTTCTAGAAAGGGGCATCTAAGACTCTCCTGAGCCCTCTGCAGCACAGCCCTCAGGAGCAGGTACTCACCACCACGTTCAGCAGTCCCCCATAGGGCCCAATGTCCGGCTGCCACAATCCCAGGATGTGTCGGTACCGGTGCAGCACTAGAAACAGCGAGACACTTAAGTGAGCACAGCAAGGTAGGGAATTGGGATTTTGGGAAAAGAAAGGAAGGCTACAGCCAAACTGCACAACACCCACTGCGGTCTTCTACCAGGGAAGAGAAAACTGTCTACTCTCAACCACAGCAAGGCAGCTCTGAACGGAGACCTACCACAAGTTCACGGTGTTGTTCCCTGCTCCCAGCGGGAGCTGTTTTCCAGGACTTGACAAAACCAGAGAGCTCACCCGGAATTCTCGGAGAACCTTTGCAACACAGTCCTGCTGATGCAAATCACAGGATATACCAGGAGCTAATAACAAATAAAGCATCTGCCTTCTCCAGTTCAAACAAAAAAAGAAAAACAAGAGGCACTTGATATCTCAGACTGCAGAACAGCGAGGAATAGGGAAATCTGAACACTTTGAAAGAACTTCCTCTTCTTGCACAGACAAACTTGTTCCCAGCATTAAAAGCTCCACTTAAAGATCAGCCACCGAGAGAGTCCCAGTGAAACGCACAGACCATTCCAGCTCAGGAAACCTGGGCCTGTTACGAATTAGTAAAGGCCTTAAAAATTCTAAATAAGCTTCCACGGCTCCTCGCTTCCTGCAAGCTGCTTCCATATCGCAGCATATGAGGCTTCCCAGTTTCTCATCTCAGAGCTTTCAAGCCTACCAAAATTGAAGGACAAGAAGAAAAGTTTACTGCGAGCTGGAGAAAAATCCTATTACAGAAGTAGCCTAACAAGACATCTTTCTGGAGGAAAATTTATATATGCTACTTGCTTCCAAACCTAATATATGCAGCCATGATTTTTTTCCACTTAATGTTCTGATACAGGATGTTACAGAAGCAGCTTTGGAAGAGAACTAGAGGATACAAATTTTTCCATGTCCAGCACCATTTGGTGGAAAAGGGAAGTGGGAAATATGTCCTCCCTTCTCACATCTGGCAAGAAGGCCCTACAGCTGCCTTAGAATGATGTCCAGGGCCGACTCCGAAGGCTGCATGAACCAATTTAAACCTACATGAGCTGCTCCAGCAGTGGTTTTTGCTTTGCATTAGTCTACAGGATGAACCGTGTTTCAGTGCAGCTGTTACAACAGCTTTGCTTCTCTCACTGCTCCAGACAGCAAGCTCTGTATGAGTGTTTTCATCACACCAAAGCAGAAAACTTCCACGGAGGTCTAGGGCACCGGGGAGGGTTATCCAGAGCTGCTGCCAACACGCCCGGAGGAGCCTTTTTCCCTGTGCAATAAACAACACGGGATTGATGGATTGGTTCCACCCAGCGAACAGCGCGCACCATAAACAGCACTGAGGAGACCGAGCCAACCACATTCCCAGCCTTCCTGTCTCAGCACAGTAATTACATATTAATAAACGGTATGTGCATAAGCTGCTCCACCCACCACAGCCTGCTTTTCCACCCTGCCTGCACAGGGCTGATAAAAGCAATAAATAAAAGGCTGGGTTTTAGGGCAGGAACCTTGCTGCTAAGCTACCCGTGAGCGATTAATGTCTCCTCCTTCTCCTCCCTCAGCTCCAGGAGCTGCGTTGACTCTTTCCAGGCTCTCTGGCAGCAGGGAGGTGTCTGCAGAGCAAGGCAGGCATCGGGAACGAGCCACACGCTCCGGCCACAGCTCCGCGCGCTCCGGCTGCATCCGCGTGCCAAGGCCAGGCTGGCTCAGCCCGCCCGTCGCCTCTGCTTCCAAGGGATGGAGGGTGCAAAAAAAACCCCTCTGGTTTTCCAGCTGCTGTGCAAGGCTGGAGCTGCAAGCGCAGCCCCGTTGCAGCCTTGCCCTGCCTTGCTAGCACTTGTAGCAGGGGCACCTCTGTGGTTAAGACGTCTCTCTCCTTTGCTCGCAATCCTGGAAATTTCTCCTCCTCGTGTTCTTTCAAAAAAGGATATTACCAGGCAAAGCGCCAGGACTTGGCTAAAATGTCCATTTCGCTGGGACAATTCTCCAAGCAGAAGCTTAGCTTCGTTTTTCAGGCCCGATGGCTCTTGGCTTCCCTGCTGCAGTGTCCCTGGCCTCCAGCAATCCAGCAGGTGGATGTTCCGCAAGGAAAACCGGCCGAATCCCAGCTCTGGGATTCCCACTGGGAGAGTCTGGCAGCTGTTTCCCTACTCCTCTGAAGGAAACAGCACTTGGGTCTTTCTCCAAGGCTCTCCTGCACTACGCACGCGTCCGACTTCTCAGGTCTGAAGAAGGTCTTTGCCCATCAGAATTTCCGAGCCCAGGTCCTTGCAAACGGCAACAGAAAAACATCTGCAGGAAACTCCAGCACATCCCTCCCCAGCTGGCATGGCCACATGCAGCCCCGCGCGCTCGCGGAGCGAAGGGCAGCGCGGGACGCACTCCAATCCGGCTGGGAAGAAAGCAGCGAGGGCCCGAGCTCCCGTGGGAAGGGGGCAGCTTGGGCAGCTCCAATGCCCCGGTGCCCATGGCAGGGAAGCGACGCGGAGCAAACGCAGGGACAAGCAACCCCACGGCAGGTCTTTAAAGGAGGAGGCTTTCGGATGCCATCATTTTAACTAAATCTTCTTGCATCCTCCACTTCTAGCTTTGAGGGCACAGAGATTAATGCAAATATCCAATCTGGAAGTGGGCACTGAAATCCGTAGCCTTTAAAGCAGCCGATGTCAATGGGAAAGGAGCTGAATCCACTGCAGTTCTTTAGGACTCTCGGGATGCGGCAATATCTACAAGCAAGTCGAGCTGCAGCACATTTAGCAGTTGCTGCCCCCCAGCTGGTGACAACAGGCTTGCTAGGAGAGCTGTCTGCTCCCATGTGACAGCCAGGCCAGTTGAAAGCTCCAAGGAAAAGGATCTGGCCAACCTGGCTCCCAAGGCATGAATATGAATTAGGGAGCGCACACGTAAGATATGAGACAGCTCAGCCTTTACACACAGGACAGAAGGAGGGGAGAACGGGCAGCCACACTGCCTGTGCCGTAATGCAGCGTGCCTTTGAAGAAAAAGGGTGTTAGATATCAAAAGTTAGGGGCTGCAGCAAAAAGATTAACAAGGGAGGACACGGCACGAAATGCCACTTCAGAGCCACCACAAACGGCATGCTTGGAGCAAATAATTGCTAGTATCCTGCAAAGGAAGGCCCCATCCTGGAGGGCAGCTCTCCTCGCCATCCAGCTCGGGAACAGGCAGGACTGCTAAAACTGAAACTCCTATTGCTCCCTGCTGCAGCACCGCTGCTTTCTGCGCTCACCTTGAAGACACGACGGGGCGGTCTGCTCTAAACCCTCCTGATCAGCCCATGTTCCAGCGCTGTCTAAAGGGCAGGGGAGTCTGCGGCGCCCGTGCCACTCGTTAGCACGTGGCGAAAACTGCATTCCGGGGAATCAGTAACCTGAGTTTGCAGCATTTCTCTGCAGTGACCTTATTGCACGTCCCCAAAGAGGCATTAGGGCCAGCTTACCCCTCTCCGAACGCCAAGCAGTACTGATTTCCTTTATTGATTTAGTGTAATTGCTGTTCCTCCAGCTCCTGCAGAACAGTGAGCTTTAGACCCCAGCATTTTGCTGTTCTATAAAACAGCATCAGGAGGGGAAGAGCAGTTTACTCAGAGGAGCTTCTTGACTGAGCAAGGCGAATCACTCTGAAAGGCCACCCCCTGGCTCTCAGGAAACGCTCTGCTAGAGCAAAGTGTGCCAGGCAGAAGGATTCACTGTCCAGGGAGGGAATTAGCATGAGAACCCTCTGACTTTTTCACTGAGGAGGGCTGAAGATCCAAATGCAGCTCGTTGGATCAAGGCAAGTTTTTGTGAAAGCTCAGAGTTCATTTAGACTCACTTTGGGGAGCCCTCACCAGGGTATCTGGTACTTCTTTCTAAGGGACCAAACCACAAAGAGCACAGCGAACGCTCACCCATGGCAAACTGCCTTCAGAGACCCTTCTTTTGGGGCTTGGTCAGGACAAGTCTCTAGCTCAAGGTACTTCAAAGGACGATCAACACTTTTCACCCCTGTCCTACTCATCCTGCCACTTACAGGCTCAGAACAAGCCCCTGATGAGCAACAGGCAAGGACTGCGTAGCCAACAGCCCTGGTGCTTCCCGAGATCCCCCCGAAATACTTTGCTTAAAGCAACGTCACACTCCATGCAGCGCCTTGTGTGTGCTTAGTGCAGGGAAGCATCAACCAGCAGCGGGTACGTACGGCAGGTGTAAACATCTCTGTACTCCATGTGCTCGTAGTCGGGAAGGATTTTCATAAAACGCCCCGACTTCACTCGTGGGTTTATACCTGAACAGACACAGCAGGTTAAGTACCAGAGAACTCCACTCCACCGTAACCAGCACGTAACTGTAAGAGGAATCTGGACCAGCTACGTGGCGAAGTCCAACTCCCCTGGGCTTCACTGTTGTGGTGCACAGACTCGTTGCCATCAGTTCTGGCCTCAGACATATCCCCCTAGCAGGATACTGACCTTGGCATATACGGCCATAGGCAATATCTACCTATGAATTCATTCAATGAATTCAAGGGTAACCAGGGTCTCTCTCAAACTCTGCAGTGTGACGGCAATGGGCTCCATCATCTCACTAAGGCTATTTAGCCAAATAACTAAATGGAGAGGAGCCCAGGCCTTGGACTAGTTACTGTCTCTAACAGTTGGGCTCAAAGTTCCCAATTTCCCACACTGTTTCTTAGAGAAGCGCTTTCAGCAGACAAGAAAGGGCATATGAGTCCTGCTGCTAGACTCAAATGAACTCTGCAGCAATTAGAGAGGACATGGGGACAATAGAGAATATGGGGACACACCACCAGGAAACGGTGCCAAAAACACCAAGTGTTGGCAAACAGGGCAAACTTGAATCACAGCAGGAGAAATAAAGTGGTGCATCCCTGAAAGCCAGAAAAAGCTGCGTTCTGACTCCAGAGTAAGTGTGCTAGTTAAGACTGCTTAAGCAAGAAGGGCACAGCTCCTATTGGAAACAAAACAAAGTTCATTGCAGAGGTGTGTTTCACATGTCAAGTGCAACTCTTTGACAAGGGATGTTGTGAATAAAGACATACACTTGGGTGCAAGGGATGACTGGACAAATACTTGCAAGACAGATCTGGCAAGGGTTACCAAATAGAAAAAAAAAGGCATTAGACTCTGGAAATCCCCCAAGCTGAAAATAGTCAGAAGCTGGGAGAGTATTTAAGAAAGTATCATATATGCTTGCCCTCTTCTCACTCTTCACTGGGCAACTGCTTAGAGCCACTGCAGGCAGATTCTGTGCAAGACCCAGACCTTTGCTCTGAGCCCATATATATATATATATAAACTTGTGTATAAAATTCACTAAACATCACTGTAAGAGATCTGAGCTATGAAACTGTTGCAGTGGAAAGGGAATACAGGCCACGAAGAGCTGTCTTGCCATGCAAGAACAGCAATGCAGAATTGAGGTTGCTTTAAGTGGCAGTCACCACAGCAGCTATCGCAGTGGCTCCCTGTGATCCCAGGCTGAAGGGCAGGTGAAGGGAGGCCTCGGTGCTGAGCAGGCTTCCCTGGAGACATCCGACGGCCGGCTGAGCTTCCCACCTAATCCCTGCTCCTCTCTAGGCAACCTAGGCAGCCCCATTCCCAATGCACAGGCACTACACGAGGTCACTGTGTGACAAGGCAATTTGCCTGTGGACGCTCAGCAGGTCTATTAAAGACAGGGTTGAAAGGTAGAAATTCCTCCTCGCAGCCTGCAGATCAAAGTTTTCGATCATCGCTGCTTCAAGGCCAGTGCAGGAACTCCCTGGGGCCAGGCCAGGCTTTCTGAGCTCAATTTTTGACTAGGAAGGGCAAGATTTGGTGATAAGGGAGCCAGCCTCACTCAGACCACGGGGAGATGCAGGCCTCTGTTCAGCCCTTACCCTGCCTTGCTTTTTCCCCTCTGATGTTTCCCCACACTGCAAAACAGAGTATATGCATCTACCTTGCAATAAACACGCTGGATCTAAGGATTTCCCAGAACATACTGACCCCTCAGCCCACCACCTCGCTCGCCTCCTCCAGGAGCAGTCCAAAGGAATGCTCATCCCTTTTCCTACACCTTCCCAATGTCCACATATTTCATTAACTGAGTGCAAACGGAAAAGGCATGGCTACATTAGGGTGTGGGAAGCCTCAGCCTTTGACAAATAGCAATTAATTCCCTGGCAAGATCTTTAAAAGATAAAACAAACAGGAAAGGAAAAAAACACTCCAACAGACTTGTCATTATAAACTTAAATCTATTGTTTTTTTTTTTTTTTTTTTTTTTTCCCCAACCAGCAAACAAGTCAGGGACAGAGACATCCCAGATCTTGGAATCTGTTTTGTGATAAAGTCTCAAACATTTCAACTTCAAAGATAAAATTCCTGTCATTAGAAAGACGGCCTGAACAACTTCTGCTGTCAAAGTTTAATAATATCCAGCATGTACACGCTTCAAAATTGGTACTAAACAAAGACACGCAGATCGACGCCAGCTTTAACACTTACGTTTGGCATAAACATCTCGACAGGACACTCCCGTGATCTCCAGTTTCCGCAGGTTTTCACAGACACCATATTCTGCAACGACACAGACAACAACATCAATCGACTCCGACTCAAACGTGTCTGCTACCCAGATCTTGATACCATAAGTTTGAACAGAAAAAGAGCTCTTTCTTATTACATGCTTGCAAATTGGCACGTTCATCTGAGAATCTTATGGCTGTCCTGAGTGAAAGGAGAAAACCAGGTGTAATTTCACTGCACTCTGGGACCTGGGAGTCCAACACATTTTGTAAGTGATGCCTGCAATGAACGTACAGGCGCAGTTACGCTGTAGGTGCCTACAGCTAGACTGAGAAGGGTATGAAGTGTAGGGGACGTACTCATTCCAAGGGGGATAGCCTGTCTGTTTAGATCAAATCATTACTGCAAATAGTAATTAATTACTCCCACTGAGGTATCCAGCCGGGAAAAGTGCATATTAGGATCCTAAAAAAAAAATAAAATAAAATAAAGTCACAGCCTTTAAAGAGACTGAATCGGAGACATAAAACAGGCATCAGCATGTACAAATATGGTCACACTTGAGAGCGTATCTGATTGAGATGGCTCTGTTCCACACTCAAATGCCTTTGATTGCTCGCTGAACACCCTGCAAACAAACCAACGCGAGCTTCCTAAAAGCAGCTTTGAAGCAGAAAATGAGATAACTCATCTCAGTTTCACGCAGTCAGCGCTTAGCTTCTAAAAAACTCTACCAAACAAAAGCGAGTACAAACATCTCAATGCTAGAAATCCATGGAAGACAGGAGGAAGGAGAGGGAGATCCCAAGAAGCAGCAAAAAAACTGCTGCAGAGTCCCCATCAGAGAGCAGTCAGGAAAATCGGATGCTCCTTGATGCTCCTGTTCTCCTTGATGTAAAATACAGCCATACGACAGATCAAACACCGGTTCCTAGGACCTGCCACATACCAAAGTGTGTGTGAAGCCCCAGATCCAACCTCGGATTCGCTTCTTCAAATAAACCATCTGCCGTAGCTGCCAAACGCCGCTGTCTAATGCCTGGTAACCTGCTCCAAATTGAGAACTCATTTTCCATCCAGGAGAAGCGGCAGAAGTTTCCCTGAATGAATCTAACCTCATTCTGTCTGTAAATACACTAGTGCACATATCCGAGGATAAAGCACACATAAAGCTCACCGTGTGCCTGCCTCTGGGAATGCACGCTGTGTGTGACACTGCTTTGAGTCACTTTAACATCAGAACGGGCTTCCAAGAGAAGCAGCAAGTTCAGTGAAAGGGAGAGCGGAGAGAAGGGTCAACGCACGATGAGATGCACAAGTCGGCAGCAAAGTCCCTGTGACTCCAGTAGGAAAAGTCAGAGGAAGCTCCAAGTGCAGCAAATGCAAAACAGAATAAGGAAGCACAACCAGCCAGAGGGCAGAGGGGCAAATCTGCAGGAAAGCCCATTCGGACCAGCAAATAAAAGCTGTTTAGTACTTGACGAGGGAGGGCTGCCCCTATAGAGCAGTTTGGCAGGTCTGTGAAACCAGAGCCCTGCGTGAGGCTGGAAATTGAGAGCCAGTCTGCAAGTCATCCCGGCTCCGCTCCTGCTGCCAGGAGCAACGTCGCAACCTGCACACGTCCACGGGAATGTGCTTGGGAATTGCATCAAACGGATGGCAAGAACAGCCTGTTTTCTCAGCTGATGGGAGAGTTAGAGATCTTTGCAAGGAGACAGAACCAGGGTGGGTATAGCCTGCTGCTTGGGAAGCGATGGCTCTTTCCACGTAAACAAATATTCACCCGGCTGCAGAAGGAGTCGGATGCACTTTGTGCAGCAGACACTGCAGCGAGATTAAATTCGACGGTGTCATCTGGAGATACTTAGACTGCATCGAAAAGGGAGGAGACAGGCGGAGGAACCTGCCCAAATGGCACCGCTCCACGCTGCTCTTTAAGAGCAAGACGAGCACAGTGACATTCTCATTTCCTCCCCATTTTTGTGGGGTACAGCCTGTTCCTGCACCTGAAAAGCACAGGAGCAGCCTCAGGTCAGTGCTACAGCAGAACTGCTATCAGCACATGCTGGGAATGACCGGGCACGGGGGCAAGCGATTTGATGCCAAAGCTTTATCCCAGCTCCATGAAAGTGACCTTGTAACCAAGAGGGACATTATAAGAAAACCAAAACCACCACTAATGCACTGAGGATGCATTTCTTAAGTTTTATAGTTCATATCTACCCCAAAAAGATCTGAAGTTCTATCCCTGCTCGAATAATAGGAACAGAAACACTGCATTTTCACATTGCCACACACTACCTGACATTAAGACATCCAAAGCTTATAAGAAAGTGTTAATCAGAAAAAAAAAAAGTCATTTTTAAATTGTCCTTAAAACTCCTGTCCTTTAGTGACAGCTAATGCTCACCATGCTTCATTCTGCAAAACAACAACCGTTCAAGAAGCCCAGACCAAGTGCTCGGCTCTGGGTCAGCGCATCCTTCGCCGCTCCGACTCACGAGCCCGTAGCACCAGGAGAGCCACAAAAATTCCAGAAATCCCAACCAAGAAAGCTGGCCATGGCTGGATGACCCAGAAGACAAGAGGGGCATAAAATTGACAATAAGCAAAGCGTCAACACAGCTACAGAAAATTAAACCTGATAAGAAGGGAAAGCTTCTTCCCAGAAAAAGGTTTGAGAGACCCGAGCTTTCCGGGAAATTCTACTAGAGTGCAATTATACCCATTTTAAGGAAACATATCTCAGTGCTGCGGCTTGCTGAGAAAGTATTTCTGAGTTAAGAGACACAGCGACTCACATGCTAAATCAATGCAGTTAGGAACCGGCTGCTTAAAATCCTACTTTGAAAACAAGTTTTTTAAGTTCTCATTTGACCTGCTGGAAAGTGTGTTGCATTAGGTTTATAAGGAGGGCTTGAAAGATAATCCAAACGCATGGACACAGGGCTGTTTCCATGGTCACGTGCATGGGAATTTACAGGACTTGGAAACAGGAAACATTCTTATTATCTTTCAAACTTCAGTGTTTTAAGACCAGCTTTCAGGTACGTTGTTTTCCTCTTCCTGGCTGCCAAAACCAATGCAGTGAAAAGGTGGCTCCATCAGTCAAGGTATGAAACAGCCCTTATATCAAAGGCCAGATCGCTGCTTTTTCCTGCCTCCTTCCTGGCATTGCAAGGCCGGTCAGCAGCTGCAGGGATACAGACATCAATAATATGGAGAAAATTAGGCTGTGTGGTCGACCTTGACACTCCTAGTGCTGCTGAATTTCTGCTGTGCCCTAACGAACCAAGCCCTCTCATTAAGCCTGGGTAGCAGCGTGTTTACAAGGCTGTGCGCGGGCAGAGGGGACTTGCTGGATGCTTTAGAGACACAAAAATGGCAGATTTTCCAGGTAGCATCTCTGCATCACCGGTGGACAGACTTGGAACCAGCTTCTTGTTTCCAAAACCCGACCTGTCAGGATTAAAATACACCAAATACCTTCCCGAACACTTCTCCCGGGGGAAGGCTTGCAGCTAGCGCTGACATATTCTGCAGCTGCAAACGAGGAGCTGAGCAAAAGGAGACGTGATCTGCAGCAAATGAAAGCGTTTGGGGAAACCCTGAAGCAAGAGATCATTAGTTTCAGATCTGCACCTTAAACAGAGCGATACCCCTTGCAGGAAGCCCACAGCTAGTGAGCACCGGCAGCAAGAACCCCCTGGTTTTTATGCAGCCATCCTCAGCAAAGGACATGGCCAGAGACGAAGAAAAGCCCACCAGGATTCACCAAAGCAACACACTAGACACAGCCCTAACCTCAGCGATGGGAGATTAAAGCCTTGTCACTTATTAAAGCCACCTTTGCATTTAATAGAGCGCAGCACTACAAAAAGCACATCCCTGTTGTGGGAGCAGCTGCACATGGGGCTCCCGCACGGGCTCTCCAGTGTCTTGTAAAGAGCTGAACCTCACAGCAAGGTCCCTACAGGTATTAATCGAGGTAACTCGGGCTATGAAGCGGGAGCAAACCACGCTTTGGTTCTGCGCCGCTGCAGCGATCAGCAACCTCCTATTTATAGCATAACAAGAGAGTAAGTGCAACCCTGCTCCTGCCAGGGAAGCAATTCGGAGACACTGTTTACCCCAAACAGCTGCAATGATGAAAGGACAACGCTGCAAACAGTCCTCCTGCCTGCGCCACGCTCTGGTTGCTGCCGTCGCTCGCCCAGGTCGGGATCAGGAGCCGAAGCTGCTCCTTCACTTTCAGGGGGACAAACCTCCCGGACGCTCGCGCTGCATCTCGTTAGCACTGTGCATTCGTGGGGACACTCATACTTAGGCATGTGCAACTGAAAGTGCCCTGTGCCAAAGTTTACCAGTTACTTCCCCAAAGAGCACTGCAGCATAATCAGTAGGCTTCAGAGTGAACAAGCCATCAGCACAAGAAGGGCTATGGCTAGGAGATGCACACATGCTTTTGGCTCCATTTCTATGAAAAATCAACCTATCGAAATAACAAACACTGGTCAAGCTCAGCAACCCATTCATGAAACAGAGGACTCTGCTTATGTCAGACAAAAGAGGCCTAAGAATGAACGCTATTTTATTAGCCAGCCTCCCCCAAAAAACAACGCTAAGTTACTGGGACAATGGGATCGTGTCATCCTGGGCTAAGGGACAAGGGCTCCGTGGTGACACTTCCCGGGTACAGCCTTTGTAGTCCCAAGGGTTTCAGATGGGGCTCACAAGGCACGAATTCATTCCCGCAAGGCTCCACGTGCCACTGTCTCGTCCCCAAACCCTTCATCCTCATGCCCTGGCTGGTGTTCAGGCCGGAAAAAGAACAACGGATAAAGGCGGCTCCACGAGAGGGCAGGGACACGCGATGGAGCATGGTGAGACAGGATCGGAGTGGGAGAGCCGCTGCACCAGCCACCAGGACAGGGAGCCGCGAGACAGGAGGTGGAGGATGAGGAGCGAAGAGACTCTTTGCAGGCAATGCAGGGCCGAGGTCCTCCCCAAAAATGCCCCCGGCCTTTGCATTAAACGCAGTGCCCAAAATGTGGGGCTGCTG